CACACAGAGGACCTATCCACGTCATCATTTACCCAGAATGCTTTGCGTGTAAATAAAATGGCTCCGTCCGTGTAATACTGTATATTTTTTAAATTTTTAGTTTAAAAATTATAAAAACTAAACGTCCTACAGTATTTTTACAGCCTTTATTTTACAGTGAAAATAAATGTTTATCAAATAAAGTAATGTTACAATTAATCAGGGATCCCTTTAAAGGAATGTGTGTAAGAACTGTGATTCAGACCAACAGGTGATCACGGTGGTAACAATTTGTAATGAACGCATAAATTAGTTTCCTTTGTCACCAAACCCATAGGCCTCTGCTCTGGTATTGTATTGTCAGAGGGTCTGCTCCTTTATCTGTCGCCGCCACAAGGATGAAAAGCGGCAAGGGAACATGTTTTAACAGCGGGGGTTTGTAATCATTAAAGAAAGCCGATATGTCCGATATATTAATGTTTATTATGTAATAATACTGTAATTTAGTAAATAATTTCAGGATCTATAATCACAACAGCCCTATAATGTATATATCTGTGTGGTGAGGACACTAGCGCTGAGGACACCGCTAACTTGTGCCGGCGTATAAATGGAGCGCGAAGGTTATAAGTTTATTATCAGGTCATTTGGAATGTCAACGTGAGAATTGCGGTGCACTGCATGTATTTTTATTTTTATTTTTATTTTTTATCAGTTGTATGTCCAACAAATAATCGCGTAGCCAAACATTTAAAAATAATGATTATTTGCAGTTCATTTCCTCGGAGCCAACAGCGCCTCTCAGAGTCTCGGTTTGTCCCAGCAGGTCACACGACACTCAGCGGGTAAAGTTTGTTACCCTCTGCCTGGACTGTCTCTCCATGTCCGCCTCCGCCTGAATGAAGCCCACCCGGTCCTCCGCCTCGTAAGCCACTTGCTGCAGGCTCTGGATTTTCCTCCTCACCGCGTCTACCGAAGCGTACATCGCCATTTCTGTGCAGGGGTTAGCACCGAGCTACACGCAGGCGTCGCGACGTTTCTGTGGCAACTGCTTCAGAGGACTTCCGGGTAGAGTTTCAAAATAAGAGGTTTATGAAAAAAAAAACTAGTTTTGTGTTAAACCAGGTAATATTTTACCTTAGTGATCACTTTTACTCTCGGATTACGTAATGACCTCGTATCTTTTACCAAATAAATAACTTAATACAAAAATATTAAGTTTAATTTTGAAACAATCAGAAACAAGTAAATTGTGATATGTATAAATC